TTGCTGTTGGGCTTTGTTGGTAATATATAGAAATGCTGATGATTTATGCGGGTTTATTTTATAGCCTGCAACTTTGCTAAAGTTGTTTATTATTTCAAGTAGTTTTTTACTTGATTCTCTGGGATTCTCTAAGTATAACATCATGTCATCTGCAAATAGTGATAGCTTTGTGTCTTCTTTGCCTATTCTAATGCCTTCAATGTCTTTTTCTTCTCTTATTGCTAATGCTAACGTTCCCAGTATGATGTTGAATAACAGTGGTGATAATGGACATCCTTGTTTCACCCCCGATCTTATTGGAAATGCTTCTAGTTTGTCCCCATTACATATTATGCTTGCTGAAGGTTTTAGATAGATGCTATTTATTATTTTAAGGAAGACTCCATTTATACCTATGCTCTGTAGTGTTTTTAATAGGAATGGGTGTTGTATTTTGTCAAAAGCTTTTTCTGCATCTATTGAGATGATCTGGAAGGGATAATTTTTAAAAGTAACTTTGATCAATGAAATTATAGGTATGACTCCAGTCAGGTCCTGAAATAAATCAAAGGCATGAGTTGAGGAATAAAGCATCTTTAAATGAAATAACAGGTAGCACACCTGCCTGTCTGGGGGATGTCCAGTGGATTTCCTAACTCCAAGACTCATGCAAAAGCTTCTTATACCTTTAGGAGGAGGGGGAAGGAGGAGGTCGCAAGGCCTGATTATGAGACCCCAGTGACCCTTGGCAATCTGGTCAAGGAAAGTCACTTCATTCTGGCTGTTTTGCCCTTCATGCCATGGATCCCAATGGAAGGGAGCAAGAACACTAGAAACTGCATCCAGCTTGGACTGGACTCCTCCACAAGGCAAAATCCCTGAGTAGGGGGACCTAGGGTGTGGTTCAGCTCAAGCTAATCAAGATTAAATATCTTAAGAGTAGGAATGTAGGGACATTACTGAAATTCTGACATTACCAGGATCATTTAAAGGAGTGGCAGTCCATAACATTTGGTGTTAATTTCTGTAATTATATTAACAATTTTCTATCATCATACAAGATGCAAAATCAATGGATCTAATACAAGTTCTTTGGATTCCTGTTTTGGAAAAGTACTTACAATGAATAAATGGAAAGTAATGCTCTAATAAAAACTCAAATTTAGGGCTTGCAGAGTACTTTGCTCACAATAACTTGTGAGGCTCTAGAGCTGGGAGGCCATCTAGTCCAGCACTCTCTTTTACAGACCAGGAAACTTAGGCTAAGATCACATAAGTCCAACTTGTCAGTCAAGATTTGAAGTCAGATCCTCTGACTCCAAGTCTACTGTACCACACTGTCTAATGCAAGTATTATTATCCCTATACGGTTTTTATAACTTCTTGTCTTATAAAGTTACCTGGGAACTCAAAATTCTTAAAAAAAAAAAGGATGTTCAAACTTGTTTTTAAGTGTAATTGGGAAAAATAAAACATTATTTAAAATATGAATGTTATAAATAATTTTTTTAAAATTAAAAGTATCCACCCCCACAGCACTGAGAAGGAAATTGAGGTTCAGGACTTGCCCAAGGTTCTGTCACTTTAATGTGATGGAGACTGGATTTGTACTCCCTTTAAATCTGAATCACAAAGACTGTTTTGTCTAGAATTTCTACCCCTTAACCACTAATGCTTGGGCATTGTCATCATCCTGATTTTCACCAATATAATGGTGACATAAAGTGTCTTTTAATTTTTAAAAATATTGGTATGTATAGATCTTCTAACTCCCAAATAATTTAAAAAATATATAAGCAGCCCCTAATTTACTGAAGTCAATTCATGTATGTTCCGGGTTGGTGGCCTATGGACCAAAACTTCTCTTCCCTGTGTGTGTATTAGTGGATCTTTCCTCCTTCCCCTCACCAAAGACTCCTCTCCACCGCCACCCCAATCTAGTTTCTTACTTCACTAAAAACCTGCAGTTAGGTCCCCCTCCCCCAGAAAGCTACTTCTCATCACTTTCTTCTTTTCCTCTAGGCCATATTTTGCTGAATTTCTTATTTATTTTAAACACGTAAAAAAAGTAGTTACAAATGCTCTCCCTTCCTCTGATCCCTCCTCCACCTGTTCAGAAGGCAAACAATATGATACTCATTATAAATGTGAAGTAATTTTGCTGAATTTCTTGCCCCAGGCTACTGTTTCCAGTGTTAGGCTGTTTAGTAGGGCACCTGCTGGAGTAGGGGGAGATTTGTTCCATGTTTCCCAAATGGGATTATATTTTCTGAAAGCAACATTATTATTCGTGATATTAGGGTTTACAGCGTACAGTATTCGACATTCAGGACCTTAAAGGGTAAAATAAGCTTTTGTGAAGTGGCTAGGGAACCCAACAAACATAACATTGTTTCTAGGGGGAAATTACATTGAGTTCCAAACAACTAACATTTGTATTTTTAGGAAACCTTTTGAGAAGTTGGGGAATGCCGATATTCTTCATGCTACATTTCTTAGGAACATCACATCATTCAGTTTTAAGTAGCTTAATCATCCCTATGGTTCTCTACTTCGCTTTGGGGAAAGAAAAAAAAAACAACCGCTCTTTTTGAATCTAATTCTATTTTTGTGTCTCATCCCAATCAAAGAATTTAACGAGATTAGAAAAGGAACTCTGTACATTTCATTTTCATTCTTAAAACCCTAGCCTGTTGCGTTCCCCCCAGGTGCTATTTGCCTATTTTTTTCTTATCACAACTATCTCTCCTGAACTTTCCGCCTCATTTTTTCACCCATCGGAAATCAATCTCAAGATAGTTAAGCACTTCACTCTACCCACGAGGGGCAAGTCATACTTCAAACTCTTCCGAGGAGAATGCAATGAAGCAATTGCTTGTCTCATTCTCTCTGCGAGGAATGCTGGGGTTTGTAGTTTTTATGTTCCCTAAGTTGCAATTTTTCGGGGCGAGGCGCAAAAGAGTGAACTACAAATCCCAGAGGGTGGAGAAAGGAAAGTGTAAAATAAGAGGTGGTTCCCTCTCTTCTCTATCCCCATCCTTTTATCTAAATACGCACAGCTTTGCGAATTGTGGCAAGGTCTCCTAGATCTCCCAGGCTCGCTTATTCGTCCAGCCGAGTGACGGCAGCAAAGCGAGGGAAGAAGGAAAGGAGGAGGCGGAGAGAGAAAGAGAGACTAGCTCCTCCCGCTTCTTTTAATGTCAACTAGGGGAATGGGTTGATTTGACACATTCCCAGTTGCTGGGAGATTACCCTGTGGTTATTAGGCTGGAAGTAGAGGGATGGATGGGCGTGAGAGGAGGGAAAGGGGAGGCAGTTCCCATTCCGGCTGCTGTAGGGACTCCACAAAGAAAGAAAGGAAGAGCGACAGCAACAGACAGGAATAAAATGAACAAAGACTGAGGTCTAATACTGGGGAATGAGGGGTAGAAAAAGAGGGAAAGCATGGCACAGATAGAGCTAACGATCATTTAGAATCTATTATTTTGGGAGGGAAAAATAGAAGCCACTCTATTCCCCCTCTCCCTTCCCCCCTTCTTTCGCTCCCTGTGCTGGGAGAAAAGAGACTGGAGTCTTTAGTGGCCTGAGAGAGGAGTGGGAGAGGCTGGTCCAGCAGAGACCTCTCCCTATAGAACTGACTTCCTTGGTGAAAGAAAGAGGAAGCGAGCTTCCCTTGCTTTGCCTCTGCGATTCCGAGCATTGATTATTTCTTTAATTACCCCAATTCCCGGTCCCCCTCAGTGTATGGACGCCTCCCCTGTGCCAGACGAGGAACATGAGGGTTATGTGTCCGTAAATCTCTTGGTAACTGGGGTGGAGGCTCCAGGAAACAGCCGGGAGTAGGAGGGGTGAGGGGACTGGATACTTTTCTTTGGTTTCCCCCTCATTCCCGTAGAAGTCAAAAGAACGAGCTAGTCACTCGGTTAGCCTTTTTGTTTTTTAATATTGTTGGTCCGGTGGCAGCCGCTGTCTGGAAGAAGAGGCTTCCCAGCAGGGAGGCGGACAGAAGTCTTTGCGTGTTGTTGGGAGTGCAAGCTGCCTTGGAGGCGGCCGCCTAGAGCTGCTTGCTAGGGGTGTGACCTTTGCTTCTCCCAGGGGCGACGCGAGCTGAGGACCCCCGCAGCTGCGCTTCTGCACCGCGCTTCAGTACCACGCTCAGCCCTGGAGCAAGGAGGTGGCGAGTGTGGTATACCCTGAAAGAGAGGGAGTCCTGAAGTGATGGGGAGCAGCATGGGCAAGCTGAGACCGGAGGAGCGGAGCACCAGCCCAGGGCAGCAGGGTTGCCCCATCTGAGGGGCTTAACCTCGGAGAAGGAGGAGAAAGAGGAGGAGCCCCAGGGTGCAGAAGCAACCAACCACTCCCGCCCCACAAACGCTTACACCCATCGCCCACACCGGGGCCGCGAGGAGGCGGAAAATCTCAGAAGCGCCGGCCCGGGATCCTGGCAGCAGGAGCCGGGGAGAGCATTTGCAAACAAGTGTCTGTCGCGGTCTACCCAAGGCCCACCCCTACCGGCGTTTCTTCCTCACTCTGGGGCAAGCGGAAGGCATTCAGCCACCCGCCACACAATCCGTGAGCAGCCGCTGCCGAGATCTTGTCCTCCTGCTCCTCCTAGTCCCGTAGTCCCAGCTCCGCCAAGGCGTAGCTGGGTGTGGAGAAGTCCGCTTTACAAACAGCTGGGTAGATTGGGGGCTCTCAGCTGGACTAGTGCCTGGGCATTCAGAAGGATCTATTCCGACAAAAGCAACGTGGTTTTGTTTTGGATTTTGTTCTTGTTTCCCTCCCCCACCCCCGGGAAGCTTCGGGGGTGGCTCGGGCTACCATCTCTTTTCCATCTCTTTCTCTCCGGGGAAGAGCTGCTGCCTGGAGAACGGATTATGATAAACCTGGCGAAGGGGAGAGGAGCAGCTCGTGAAGCTCTCTGCGCGCCCACAGCCGCTGCCCCTACAGTCGAGTTCAGAGCCCGCCACCCTAGACATCCCCCAGCAGGGGTCATCTGGAAGAGGGATTAAAAATCAACTACCAGTGCAGTGAGAGGGGCACAGAGAGGAGAGCGAGTGCACTGTGGTGTGGTGTGGACTCTGTGTGTGTGTGTGTGTGTGTGTGTGTCGGTGTATGTGAGCGCGTATGTTTTGTGTGTGGTGGAGGGTGTCATTTTTCCTTCATTGGACTTAATTTCATGACCCCTCCAACACGTGATAGAATTGATGAATAATAGTGGGGTGGTGGGGAGCTCCTTCTCTGAGGAATCTTTCTACTATGACAGCCTTGGTCTCCAAAGGGTTAACTTGGGCTACTTGGCAAAGTTATCACTGGAACGGTAACCTATTTGGGGAGTTTTAATTTGAGCTTGTGCTGGCGGCCAAGGGGCTCTCGAGAGTGGGGTTGTTTTAATTAAGTGGCTTGTGCTTTTTTGGGGGTCGGGGTGGGGAATTTGACCCCCCCCAATTGTCTACCCTCTTTGATGACTCCTGGAGGCGGTGGGCCCATGAAAGACTGCGAGTACAGTCAGATCAGCACTCACAGCTCCTCTCCCATGGAGTCTCCCCATAAGAAAAAGAAAATCGCGGCCCGGAGGAAATGGGAGGTTTTCCCAGGAAGAAACAAATTCTTTTGTAATGGGAGGATCATGATGGCTCGGCAGACGGGCGTCTTCTACCTGACCCTTGTCCTCATCTTGGTCACTAGCGGACTCTTCTTCGCATTCGAGTAAGTGGACCATGTAAATCTATCTTCCTTCTCAGGCCCATGCTTCTCACTCCTCTTTTATTTACTTTCGTTTTCTAGAAGCTGTAGCTACTGTATATGTTATATAACCAATCTCGGTGGGAATTATTTATGTTTGTTTTTGGATCGACAGAATGAATGCTCTCCTGTGGCAGGTTTCTGAGAACAGAGGGAGAGAGTGCAAAGGGTCCACACTTTAGTTAACTCCCCGTGGCTTTACTGTTCTCGGGATGAACAAGGATGGAGAGCCACTGGTAACTGACCTTTTACTTCCAGGAATTGGCCAACTATAAAAGTATTTAAAATTTACTTATAGGTAAAGACATTTGGGGCATTTTATGACCCTCACTGAGCATCAAATCTGTGATTTCCAAGAGATAATGGGAGATTTTGCTATTTCAGGTATATAACTGCAACCAACCCAGTAGGCATGTAGTTGATTTTGGTTTTAATACTTGTTAAATGATCAGCCTTTTGGCTAACAGTTCATTTGCTCCTGTTTGTGCCTAAAAATATTTCTAAACAATTGCCTCTTTACTTATTAATAGATTTCAGAAACAAATCACCTTCAGGAACAGGTGATTATGGAGACTTCAGGCCTGTTTAACAAGGATGAAACTGAAGGGGAAGCTTCTTATTCTAGAAACAGCCTGGTTGGGCTTTGTGATTTGGTCTGGTAACAGAATGCATGTGGTTTGCTTACTATTTTCAGGAAAACCAGATTGCGCCAATTGCAACTCTGCCCTTGTGCCAGCTTATAGAAGGTCTTCTAATTTATTAATAGGTATTAGGTAAAACAGTTCAACTATGCTTTAGAACCATATGATTATCATGGAATCCAGTAATATGAGGACAGATTCTTAAATTGAGCCTCAGATGATAGGAGGGCTCATGGCCAGTTTGTGGTTACAGTGTATCTATCCATATGCATGTGTGTAAACAGAGATATAGATAGATTTTCTTTTAGCCTCAGCAGCTGAGCTGTTGCAGGCATGATGGTACTGTTTCAGTAAGCACAGATTCTCAGTTGGATCAGATTAATTAAATCAACAATGTTTACTTTGGGCCCTGATAAGTAGAATGGCTTTGTACCTTGTGTTTGCTTTACTAAATGTGAGTGCATAGAGTGCAAGTGAATGATCTCTTGACAGAGTAGTAACCTTCATATAAAGACATCTAAATTACTGAGGTGAAATAATTTGTATTTGAAAATTCTAAGCTATAAAAAAAATTTTTTTTTTAAGTAATGTAGTTAGGATAGATTACCACTACCATTCCTTCAACTTTTTTCCTACCTACTCCCTCCTCCTACCCCCATCTTCAAAACAAAAAGTTCTAATTTAAATGAGTTTTCCAAATGTTTTCTTGGAGTTTAATAATTAGGACAATGGTATCTTTTTTGAGAATAAGTAGCAGGAATGCTGACTGGGGACTGGTGGCATGTCTAGAAGAGGCCATGTAACTCATTAGAACCAAAGACCAGGTTGCTGTTCTGTTGTGATTCCGCTACTACCTTGCTGTGTAAATTTAGGATAGTTACTTGTTCTTTTAAAAAAAAAAAAAACCTGTGAAACAGGGAGCCATTCACGGGACATTTTATGAAAATTACTAAGTGCTTTGAATTTAAGTTCTAAGCACTTGGAAAGTAGAGACCCTTCATAATTCCACGGAAAAGTCATCTATTTGATAGATGGTCCACTAGACAGAATTCATTGTACTAGTAACTTCTGTTCGAAGTTTGTCTGAAAGATCAACTGTATTTAAGATCACATGTCAAAAGATCTGTTTTCTGTAGGTTCATGGGAAAATGGACATGAGATAATCTTTGTTTTGGTTCATCTACTTTTCTGGCCATTCCAAGCATATAGATTTGTTAATATGGTCACAAAGACCATAATGCTGAGCTTTGTTTATGAACATGTTTGATGTAAAATAATAAATATTCATGTCATATATACTAAAAACCCCACTACATGGTTAGTGAGTCCCTAAGTTATTACTTACCAGCTTTTATTTTGCCTTCTTAAGCACAGCATCTAATGAAACTGCGGTAAATTTGTTTTCATTTCTTGATATATTCATACTGCAGGGTATGTTTTTTTCTAAGTAAAGAGTTCCCCATAGCCCTCTCTAGCAGGTTGTTAGGCTCTTGCTCTGCGTCAGCATTGTGTTAACTGGTGGGTGTAGAAATAAAAGTGTGTGCTGGGATTTTATTAGCTACTGTTTGCAGTAACATTTTAATACCAGCTACAGGTCTATCTCTGTATGTTCTTCCTGAGTTTGGTTTAGGTAGCTTTGAAATTCAAGGAACCAGGTCACTCATCCTTGAAATAATGGTACAGTTGAGAAGTGTTACTTTTGGAAAATACAGAAGTTCAGATGGCTCATGGAAACTTGATTTTTTTTTCATTAAAAACATGTGCTTACGTATTCACATATCCACTAATTGCTAATGGCATGATGAAATCAAATAACTTTAGCCAATTCAATTTCATAGGATCTGGAAGAAAAAATGAATGATGCTGTGGAAGTGAAATATAGCAGTCAGTACCTACATTTTATGCCTGGATATCTTTATTTTTTTTTTCTGCGAGGCAGTTGGGGTTAAGTGACTTGCTCAGGCTCACACAGCTAGCGTCAAGTGTCTGATCTGAGATCATATTTGAACTCAGGTCCTCTTGACTCCAGGACTGCTGCTCTATCCACTGTGCCACCTAGCTGCCTGCATTTAGATAGCTTTAACATTAATAGAATTCTGCTGTGCAACATTAGACTCTGTCTGGCTCTAGCTAGAGGAATGGAGATACCAAATTGTTAAAAAGAATGAGAAAACCAGAATTTGTAGCCACTCCACAAATTATTCTGCATCAGACTTCTTCTTTGATCACTTCCTGTTGCAACTTCTCCTGACCTCTAAATTTTAAAATTGCTCAGTCAGGTTTTAGAGAGATAGATTCATTATTACCCAGCAAATAGTTCTGATGGTGAAAGGACTTCAGAAAGGACTTCTTAAAAACTGATAACTCTTTTCACTAAGATTACTTAGTATCTTGAGTTAAGTATGTGAGAGTAGTCAGAATAGTAGGTACAACTAAAGAAATCATAGGATGCATATGTCTCTATATAGCAATTTTAAAGATACAAAGTACCTTGTGGAATATATACACACACATGTTATATAATAACCAACGACAACTAGGATAGTTTCCCATCCTCCATTTTCTTGGCTTTGAATTCTTTACTTTTTTTTTTGGCTAGGCAATGGGGTTAAGTGACTTGCCCAGGGTCGCACATTTATTAAGCAGTTCCTAGGAACTGGGCTAAGTTCTGTGGATACACTTTTAAAAATCTATAGCCCCAGTTCTCAAGGAGTTTAGACTTAGAGTTGGGAGGGACCTGAAAGATAATCTACTCTTCCTTTTCTGAATTTTACTGGAGGAAATGGGAGGTCAGGAATGGTGAAGTCATTTACCCAAGGTCACCTAGCTATTAAGGAAAAAGATCTAGAATTCAAACCCAAAGCTTTCTGACCAGTGAAATACACACTGTCTAAAGCTACATGTTCTGTTCCCAGAGGAAGGGCTTATGTACAGGTGTGAAGAGCATGGCTCTATGAACTCATTCATGCTACCAGCGGTACCAGGAGGCAGTGACTGTGGCTCCATTCATCACTGAAAGAATAGGATTATTTACAGATATGACAGAGACACTTTAATCATTTTCTAAGATAGCCCAGCCCAACACCAAAAAAGAGTTGGGTTTTATACAGAGACAATAATAAGAATCTCACCTCCATTTTTTTGATTTCATAGTGTATTCCTGGCAGGAGGAAGGGCTGTTTTTATCCCCCTACCCCCCAACAAAACAAAACATATTGGAGTGCTGATGAAATGTGACAGAATTTCAGAGGTATAATCATAACTATCTTTAAAAGGACATCTGAGAAAGTTGATTGTGTGGATTGCCAGAGCATTCCTTTTACTGGTGAGAAGCTCCAAACTATCTCTGCAGCATAGTCAATTATATACTCTGAGAACTACAATTTGGAAAGATCAGTGGACGTTATCTTTGTAGCATGATGAATAAAGAAAATAAACTGGAAACAGTTTTGAGGCAGTGTTAATGGCAGGTATTAATACAGTAATATGTGTGTTTAGAATACATGGACTTATGATGCCTCCTCTCCCCCCCAACTGCCAATGCCCCACCCTAGCAACGATCTTGCATTTACATTGTATGTATTTTGTATATAAATATATGTATATGAGTGTGTGTACATGTTTCTTCAATAGATAATAAACTTCTTGGGGCCAGAGACTTTTATTTTTATCCTTTTTTTTTTATCCTAACCACTACACTACACAGTGGCTGGAACAGAATAAGCACTTAATAAATGCTTGTTTATTGATTCACATTAATGAGAAAAATAGCAATAATGATGTATTTCAGAAGTAATTTAACTTGTTCAGTTTCCTTATTTATAAAGAATAGTAATAAGATATAGAAATCATACACTTATGAAATCTCTTTGGCTTAGAAAATAAAAATGATTTGAATATTTTTCTAACTAATTCTTTTAAATGTCTACATTTGTAATTTAGTAGATAGTATCCACTCAACTATATAGATGGGAAAACAGAAGCAGAAATGGTGGTTCATTTCCCCAGAGATATTCAACAAGCCAGTGCTGAAGCTGGGAAAGGACATATTTCTCATTTCTCTTGCAACTAGGTCCAGGGATCTCTTAATTGCACTTCTTTTTTTTTTAATTGAGTGCTTTGAAAATACAAAGTACCTTGTGGCATATATACACACACATATATGTAGTATAATAACCAACAACTAGGATAGTTTCCCATCCTTCATTTGCTTGGCTTTGAACTCTTCTTTTTTTTTTGGCTAGGCAATGGGGTTAAGTGACTTGCCCAGGGTCACACAGCTAGTAAGTATTATGTGTCTGAGGTCGGATTTGAACTCAGGTC